CTCTTCCCCCCATAGCAAAACTACTTCAGTTTCCCTGGGTCCAGCCAAGGACTCCCTGAGAAGCCAAGTGTCACAGCCGAACTCCTCAGCTCCCACTTCAATCACAAAACACATCATTGCCACGACCTGCTTTCCCTGACACAGGTATGCATGTAAAACACAAAATGCATAATGACCATAATATATATATAATTATACCCTCTGCATAATGTGTAATTAATATTAAAATAATTCAAATTCAAAAAAAATAAGACAGAACAAGCACACACTTCCCCTTCTGGGGAAAGAAAAGATCAACACGTGAGAGGTGTTAGTCACAGTGTTTTACCAGGCTGTAAAAAGATGCCAACATGCAATGATTACAAGCCCAGCACGAGAGTAAAGCAGGCAGCGTTTAACAGTCCTGGTAATATTTTTAATCCACCTGCAACAGGGAGGGACTGTGTACACAACACGGTGCTTGTTGGGAAGCAGATGACGGGGTTTTTCCAGCAAAATTTGACCCAGGCTTGTCTTGACGCTCACATGGAACACACCAGCTTAAACCACGTTCTGCGTTGGTGTAACCTGGTTGTTTCTGAGGGGGAGGCGAGGGGCTGTGAGGGCTGGGTGCTGCCGGGGTTCCCCAGCCCCTTTCTCCTGGGTTGCTCCTCTCCAGTGGGACCACAGCCAGGGCTCCCTCCTGCCCAGCTGCTGGGGGCCAGGGTCAAAGCCAGGTGACTTTCTATGCTGGGTGATGGAGTTCCTTTCTCTGAAACCAAAAGCAGGAGTTATTGTGGACTCCACGCCTTTCTGGCCATGGACAGTTTGCCTGCATTCCCGTGTTTAGACAGGCAGTGAGTCATTAGGGTCATTAAGGAGATCACTCGGTCAGGTATTAAGGCTGGGGGGGTTTTTTTCGCCATTATTTAGTATTCACACTCAGAGCAGGCATGTGAGAGTAGTGGCTGCTAATAACCAAACTGGGTGTTAATGGAGCGCTTTGTGACAGCCCAGTGCAGGTGCCTTTGTGCCAGGCAGACAAGGTTACACAGCCCCAGGGGAAAGGACTGGATCTTTCCTGGACTGCCTTTCCCTGGGAGTTGGGTTTCCCTCTTCTGTTTATCTTGGAAATATTTGGCACAATCTGGGATCCATTTGGCTTCTCTGAGTATCCTGATATCTTCAGCTGACTCCAGGCGATTCACAGCTTCCTGAAATGAAGCTAAAATATCTCCTAAATTAAGATGATAAACAAAGAGTGATATCCCAGCCAGCATCAGTGGGTGCACACTGTTTTCCCTCTGAAAAGTGTCTCGCTGAGCAGAAACACCAACCACCAGCAACCCCATTACATTGGATCTGAGACCACCTCAGCATCTGCAGTCACCTTCAAGGGCAGCCAGACTGTTGGGATTTCTTATGCCATAAAGAAAAAAAAAAGGTGTTTTTATTACAAGCACTTCTAGCCTTCTTTTCTTGGATAATTCATCGCTTGATGTGATGCAGCTAAGAGTTGCATTGCCATCACTGAGTGCAGAGGAGCTCTTCTGGTTTCCCATGCTGGACAGCAGATAGAAAGTTTCCTCCTGATATATTCAGCCAAATTTCAGTCGTGGAAGCTGTTTCACCTTCACTGCATAAAGCATCCAGTTTGCCAGAGAGTAGATTCCCACACTGTGGACCTGCAGCCCTTATATGTACAGAAAGTGCTGGCTGCTCTGGGAAGAAAACCACAAGCCTGCAGCACTGAATGCTGGAGAAATGGCAACGGTTTGGGGTCTGGAGGCTCTGGGGCACCTATGTGCCGCATCCTGCTCCCGTGCTGTTTGCATTGCCAGTACCTTTTTCTAACATGAGAGTGCTAACATCTGCACAAGTTCAAAGATATTGTTGAGTGCTGGATCTGATGCTAGTCCCCATCCTCCCCATAAATTTCTGCCAGCCCTATTGCTCAATGGCTGTAAAGAAAAAGACCTGAAGAGCACGGGTGTACACACTGGACTTTCCCACCAGTCTTGACCTACAGAATTAAAACCGTCTCCCAACTATCCCTGCAGGCTGGAGACACAGGATAACAGTACTCAAGTTCATGCACATCTAAACCCAGGGTCTGTAGACCTTTCCTGGACTAACTTAGAGCGGAGTCTGGATAATAAAGCCTAGCAGGGAGAATTACACAAAATACCGCTTTTCCCCTACTCTTGCCAGAGTCATTCATTTCATTTTCATCCACTTTCATCCAGCACAACAGGGAAAATGTACGTGAGAGCGGAGCAACGACACCAGGAACCAACCTCTCTCTAGGAAATGTTTGCTTTGGAGATCAGGCTCTCCTCACCCCAACCTTACCTCCAGGGAATCATCAGCGTTCACCATCCAGCAGTCTGTCCAGGTAGATATTATCAAAAACCCAGTAGAAAAAAAAGCAAAAACACAGCCCACATACTGGAGGAAAAACCTCATGCCAGCAGGTGATCAGCACATCCAGGAGGGTGAGAAAAACAGCGCCCAGCCCTCCTTATTAAAGCTGGGGGGGAGGCAGAGCCTCAGTGTCCCAGGTCACTGCCACCCTCTTCCAGTGGCCATGAACAGCGGGAACTTCTCGCCGCTGCAGATGCCATGGGTTAGTGATGGCTGTGGGAGCACCGCACACCCCCAGCGGGGACGGGAGGAGGGCGAGAGCTGCCACAGGAGCTGTGGCAGCCAATCCGCCCCGCACAGGTAACGCTCTTGTCATGCCTGGCTGGAGAGAAGTGGGGTTGTGCAGAAGTGGCATGCAGGTAACTGGAGTCCTGGACCTGCAAGGAGAACACGGCAGGTTTTGGCAAAGTAGGGATTAAAAAAAAAAAAAAGAATCAAAACTTGTTCTTCAGGGCAGAAGTTTTGAGTGCTGCTAGGGGACTCACGGAAGAGCTCTTGTGCACATTGGTGTTTATTCCTGCACATGGGTTCATGCCTTAGCACTGAGTAACTATGCAATGTACCGGTGCGGATCCCAAGCCCTTTTTGTCACCCTGCTGGTCTCTGATGATCCAGCTCAATGCAGGAATGTCTCTGGGAAGGGAAAGTGAAAAGGGAAGAGTCATGGGCCTTCAGAGCCAGCACCAACAACCATCCCCACTCAGACATTGATATCTGTAATACTGGAGCAGGTTTCCCAGAGAGGCTGTAGATGCCCCATCCCTGGAAATATTCAAGGTCAGGTTGGACAGGGCTCTGAGCAATCTGGTCTAGTGGAAGATGGCACTGCTCAGTGCAGGGGGGTTGGACCAGATGACCTTTAATGGTCCCTTCCAACCCAAACTATTCTATGATTCTGTTCTGCACGTAAGCTGAACATAGATAATTCTTATGCCCTGAATTTGTGGGAATATCTTCTGACGCAGTGCCAAGAAACCCAGCAGGGCTCCAGGACAGGACTAGACATTCCTCCTACCCCAAAGGGACAAACGCACAGAAACCATCCCATCCTCAATGAGCTTCACTTTTGAAAAGAGAAGCTGGAAAAGACTGGAGACCTGCCTTCAGTGGGCAAGTCTTCACCACGGGGCTGAGGAGCAGATACTCTGCTTTCAGCCCCACTCACAACCTGCTTTCCCCAAGCGACAGTGTCTGTCATCTCAGCTGTCACCTCCAGATGGAGCCAGTCGGTACTTGTAGAGAACTGCTCAATGCTTGCTTCCTCAGAGATTGCCCTCCAAACACAATACCAAAAATAACTTTATTCTTTATTATTACAATGCATATAATTCCCGTCATAACCTCATGAGGTAATTTTACCATCAGAGTTAACCATCTTTTGCCTTGATCCTGGGATACTCTGTCCCTCAGAGGTCACACCGCAAAGGAGGTCCTCAGCACATGCTTTGGGAGATGCTGGCTAGAGGATAGAAGTCCCAAGTCAAAAGGCCAGGGTCTGCAGGACTCCCTGCTGCTTTAGCTTTTCTGCTGTTTTATAATTCCATCCTTAAAAGCTGACAAGTGAGGAACTTTTCCTTCTCTGACAGATGCATGTTTTGATATCAATATGCGGGTATGATGCTTTCTGCTGAGTTTTCTGGCATCCAAGTGTCTCTGTAAGGCAAAACCACTGATGATCTTCACTTCATGGCTTTCTTTGACAAGAGTCGAGTTGTGTTTCCCACGGTCCTGACCCACAGGGACAGGGCATTGGCCATGCAGGTCCCATAAAGCATAATGACTTTTATTAGCCACATAGATATAGATTGCATTGATACGAGACAGGTACTGACAATATGCATCATCTTCCTATGCTTATCTTGCACGGCGTTAATTAACCTGTGGCTGCACCAGTTTTCAAAACAAGGCATCCTAGCCAGTTGTTATTAGTAGTAACTCTGAAAAAGCGGTGTGGTGAGCTCAGAAAAGCCCTGGAAAATCTGAGAGAGTCTTCCCACAAAGAGAATTTAGTCATTAGAGGCGGCAAGAGCAGAGTTTGACAGGAGCAGAGCCTGTGTTAGCCAGAAAATGAATTACAGCCATATGGATCTCCCTGCCTTCTCATTCTGTCCTACACCCAAATACAAGCAAAAGCCCAGCTGGGGAGAATGGGGCCATTTTTCCCCATTTGGTGCATGGTGAAAGTGGACCCACTACAAGCACGACCAAGGGCGAAAGTGAAGAACTCCCAGGGGAACAGCAGGACCGCAGCAACAGCCCGAGTGGCGTTTCTAAACTTCTGTAATAAGTAATAATCATAACCTGTTCTTCCAGCTTAGCCCACCAAATGTCCACGCACGTCAGCCCCAGGAGCAAACTTCACCAAGGGACGAAGGCAGCACGTTGAGGTGCCAGTACTCCCCACGCTTTGCTCCGTCTCTCCATAGCTGTCACGTCAGTCCTGGCCAAGCTGTGTTTATTTTCTCCGTGGCCAGCAATTCCTGTTGCTGTTCCAGCCCCATGCAGCGCCCTGTGTTCACCCTCGCTGCAGGGCAGGGCAGGTGAGTGACCCTTCCTAGAGCAGGATGCCAGCGCTTCCCTGGCTGTGAGTCACCGGGGGACGGGAAGTGGCTTCACACCATTTGCATCTAGCTCAGGGCTCAGGAGCATCCTGGCCTGGGCAGCAGAGCAGGTCAGGATCCTCCAGTTTTCCCTGGTGTAAGACTGCTCTGGAGCATGCAACACGATGAAGATGGTCTGTGATTTTCACCTGACAGAGAGACCAGTCCAATATATCTGGTCCTTCATCAGACCCATGTCTCCAAACAGTCCCATGGAAACTGCTGGAGTTGTTATTAGAAAGAATAAAATATTCTTATTCAGTAGAAACTGGCAAGGTACAGATTTAATACTCTTTATTTAAAACACAGCAGCATCTTTGTGAAGCAAAGTCTGTAGCAGTTTCTCATTGTACCCTGCTTTCCTAGCTTAGCATGACAGATGTCCCCTCAGCTTCAGAAAACAGCTCTCCCAAAATAACCTCCCAAGGTGTCTTTACATAGCCTGAAACCTGGCTGACATGGCTCAGTGTAGCTTTCAAATGGATTTGTAGGCTGTACTATATATGTTAACTGTATTTTATTCTCTTGGCTAACCTAACATTTACAGTATTTTGACAGAAAAGCATTAGGGTATCCTAATACTGAATTATCAGAGCTTGGCCTCCTCGTAGGGCTCTTAAACTGTATGGTATCAATCAATGCAGCATAACTTCGTTAATGCAGCCTCCTTATCGCCTCGTCTGCACACACTCCCAGCTAAGAGACCCATGCACCACAGGTCGATTGCTTTTATTACTCATTAACACCAGGTGGACTGTGCTCTCCGGGAAGGCAAACCATTATATCACAGAGAGTCATAGAAACCAGAGCCACTCTGGGGAGGATCATAGCTGGTTTTCATCTCTCTACCTACAAAACCTTGCTTGTAGCAACACCCCAATGACGTTGCAGTCCCGTGAGCAGGGAAGGGCTGGTCCTCCCTTTGTCTAATACCCAGTGTAGCAGAGGGCCTTGGGCAAGAGGGAAGTGGTGGTGGGTGCACGTTAATGCATGAAATATGGACCTAACTGCAAGCAAGCAAGCAGTCAGTGGTGCAACTGTCGTGTTCGGGGCCCAGGGCTTGTCTGACGAGCACGGCTCAGGAGCCAGAGGTGATGGAGAGCTTGGGAGAGGTTTCCTTAAGAGCTCTTCTGCTGCCATGGAAGACCCCATGGGCTGTCTGACCAACCCTTCCCTCTCCTCCCTCCTCGTTGTACCCCCTCCATTTCCCTGCTTCGTACACCCCCATCCATGGCCTCTAAGTGCCTTCCCCTCCCGAGCAGTGCTCCCCAGCCCCGAGATGCGGACACACGTGAATTACAGGGCAGCGCGTGTCGGCTGTGATGTACCACATCCAGCCATGCTCTCGTGATGACAAAACCCTCGGAGTTAGCCTGGAGTTAGTGTGGCAACCCCCGAGGAAAACACTAAGACTTTTGAGCAACCTGTGACTTTTCAAGCAGGCAGGATGAAAAGAAAATAGGAAAGCAAAGGCATTTCCTAGTAGAGACAGGCTTAAAGGATTGGTAAATTAAAACTCTCTGTGTGTATGGATACTACACACAGGCGTGATGCTTGCATACGCTCCTTTAAAACCGCTTTTTCAATCACTCCAATGGAATAAATAATAAAATAAGCATTTCAATACAGTCTTTTCAGGCTCTCAAAATTCTCTGCAACATCTCTTCAGCACAAGAAATTTTAGTTTATAGCTGCCCAGGAAATCCCACACCTGAGAAACACATAACCTCAGCGATGTATTACTAACCCCGTTTTAGATCTGGGGAAACCGAGGCACTGACTAAGTGCCTTAGATCGAGAGCAAGGAGTCACAGCCCCGCTCCTCTCTAACACCGAGGCAGCAGTCTCTGCATGGGCGTGGTGAGATCCTTATCGGTGAAAACATGCGTGACCACTCGGGTTTCCTGAAAGCCGCCACCGAGAACACACAGTGCCGTCGCCGCATACCAGCTCCAGGCAGGCATGGACAGGCAGAGGAGCTGGGCAGTGGGTCAGACACACCTTTTCTCGGCATGTCAGGAGTTCCAGTGAACAGCCTTCGTCCCCAAGCACCCCGAGGGCTGCTGATGCCCTGCCAGGTCCGGACAGCGTCATCCTCATCCAAGCGTGTGTTTCCCAGTGCGAGCCTGAACTTTCCCGTGTCCTGATGCAAAGGTGATAAAATGTGAATGAAGAAGAAATGTCTGTGCCACTAATAGAAATTGTGCAGGAAAGGAAGGGAGACCAAAGTGAATATCTATCTCTCTCCACAGTACCAGAGAAAAGCAAAGGAGGAAATATTCTGTGATGCAAAGGGGTTGCATTGTGTCTGAGCTCCGGCGACTGTTTGTCAGAAATTTGTCTCACTGCAGCCTAAGCGAAAGGGGCCATCGTACGTGTGCTTCACCCTGCAGCCTCTCCTGGCTGCAATCCAGCCCCTCTTGTGACTCACTCCACAAGAAA